GACAACATAGAAATTTGTAAAAACTGATTTTAGTGAGCAAAAGACCCAAACGGGTTTGAAATCTGGTAGTGGATCCTAACTGGGTTAAATGTCTGTAATTTGAATCATAAATCCAAACATGTCGGAAATCTGATATGGAATCCTAATTGGGTTAAACGGGTTTGTAATTTAGGGTTATGGACTCAAATGGGTCTAGAATTTGATAATAGGTCTGAACTTGGTCGGGTTCGAGGAGTTATAGACCCAAATGGGTTGGGTATTGGTGTATTTTAGACCCAAGCGGGTCTGGTTTAATAGTGGATCTGAATCGGGTCGGGTTCGAGTTCAAACCGACCCAAAATACATATATATGTGAAAAAGGAAGGCTCTGGGATTCGAACTCCTGACCTTTGTGTCATTGTCAAATACAACTAACCACTACAATCATCAATCTTTCATGTCAAGGGTGATGCAAGTAATAGTTAAATTTCGATTTCTGTTAAATTCCTCAATAAATATTTTCTAATAAGTGAATGATAGATTTATATATTATATAAACCAAAATTTTAGTTCTGATTTGTACGAAATTTTATGTGAAAATTATAGTACTAATAGCAACAATAATGTTAAGATCATGGAGGAAAAAAATATAATAGATAAATAAGATATAAAAAAAATAGATCGTAGGATTATAAATCCTATTATTTATTTCCACGAATAAGATAAAACAACTATGAAATCTCTAATAATTTTAAACATGAATCCTACTATTTATTTCTATGAACTAGAATGGAAAAGAAAAATGGTGTTGCATGAAGCATAAGCTAATAAAAATTTTTAGAAGATAATTGAGGAAAGAGATGCTTGTCGATTTGTCGAAAAAAGACTATGAACCCCAAATCCAAGAGAAAAATCCAAATCTCGTCCCTCTCATTCTCTTGTTCTCTGTTGGGTTTTTTCTGTTTTTTTCCCTCTGCGGTTTTGGGACCAAGATGGGGGAGGAGAGAAGATTGATTTTTAAAAGAAATTTTTGATTAAAGAATCCCTAAGACTAAGGAATTTTAATCAGTGGTAAACGGATAGTTGCAACAAGAAAACTACAGAGGATCCCACGTTTGATTTTGGGAGTTAAAGTCACGGAGGTTTGTTGGTAATATTTCCAGGGAAAAAAATTCTCACGATCTCACCAATCTCGCAAATATCCGGTGATTATTGGTATTCTTTGATCTTGCTAGGAATTATAGATGTATTGTAGATAGTTTGTTACCATTTTTGAGTGAATTTGGAGGTGATTGATTCTCATTGGAAGGAAAGAAAAAGTAAAGAAAAATATATAAAATATAAAACTGAATATGTAGAGATCCTATCTTTCACATATTCTTGGTATTTATGTATGCATATATGTAGTTTCTAAAAATAGATTTTTGCATATTCATCCACCAGAAAATAAAATGTACATCCTCAACATCATTAATCATGCTTTTTTTAATTAAACTAAATTAGCTTTAGTTTGTAGTTAAATGATATGCAAAAATTGTTATTTAACTCTTTAATTATTCAACTATTTAGAAGAGTAGGAGTTTGTATGCATTATCACAATTTCTAAATCTATCTCATTTCAAATTATATTGTCTTTTTTAACACATCTTTTTATAATTTGTCCCTACAGTCGTATTGAGTGTTTCTTATCTAGGACATATGTTTATCAAAATCACAAATTTTATTTTCATCATTTATATGATAATTTGAAAGAAATATTATCCTCATTTAATTTAAATGTGAACAAGTACTATCATGATTATAGATACAATTTCAATACCTTTTGGAGGTATAAAAATGATTTTAGTTTATTGTGATGAGCATAGATGCAATTAGGAAAGTTTGAAGGATAAGTACAATTCTCATTTTTTAGACGATTATATAAAATTCCTATTTGTGAAGAGTAGTGATAACTACACTATTACTCCTACAATATTTATACACAACAAGAGAAAAAAGTGTAGGGGTCCATTCTCTTTAACGTTTTTCAAAATTGTGAAGGACAAGAACACAATGTAAGAAAGAGACTGAGCACAATCTCGGTATCTAGTTTTTTACTTGGAATTTTGATCTTTCAGTAACATCTTTATTAGTTAAGTTGCATAAAATTATCGTGATTTTCTCTCTCTCACATTAAATTGCGGAAACCTTGAAACTACATTAAATTGTCATGGCTTTTATAACTTCTAGAATACTCCCTCACAATATTAACACCAGGTTTATATTTTACTCTTCTTTCTAAAAGTTCAAATAAAGTAACACATGTCAAAAAACAACATACCAAAGAAAATTCTATCTAAAAATTAACATGTAGAAGTCAATTTTATGCCTACCAAGCAAATAAGAAGTCAACTGATATGTTTATTGAGGACAAGCTACCTAAGATACTGATGTTTTTGTGAAAAGTTCTTGTGGTTTTCTTAATTTAAAAGAAAAACGAGAACAAGTTAATGATAATATTTTTGCAATTTATATTTATAGAAGAAACAAAGAATGTAGAAAAGATATAAACAATAAAATTAACTTAAAGTAATGCGCATTCTCCATTTTATTATTAATTGTTTTTGCATTCATCTTGCAAATTCTTCTGTAAATGTGGCTTGATGCGCTCTCATCTCTTACAAAACAGAAAATAAATAACAAGGTTGGTATCAATACTGGCTGAAGCAAGACTTATTGGTATCCATAAAAGATTGTAATTGAATTATAAAAATGATCCCAAATTGCAGCAAAAAAGTGAAAAAGATAAACATAAAGAAAAGATCATTACCATCTCTAACTAGTTATTCAACATTATATAACAAAATCTGGAAGCAAAAAAGTTGCCTCTTCATATTCACTCGTTAGCTCTACCTAATTAAAGGAACAAACAATTCAGAGATTTTATTATATGAAAAAATAGTGACTGTTTTTGGGGTGAGAAAAAGGATGAGACCTCAAAACATGAGATCTCAGCTATCATACTGCTAAAAAATGGTTTGTTACACAATAAGGAGTACACCCCCAACCCTAGAGTGTACTCCATCGGTATCATAACTGTATATACATCAGTTCAAACATAACCACGGCACCAGCAACAAGTTTCTGAAGCATATATACAAAAAGTTCAAAATAATCAGGACAGGTTGTGCATTTTTTTGGGCAGCATCAACAGAATAGGGCAAGTAGACCCACCACCAACTTCATCAGATTGATCTCCTGCACTCGTGCCTCTAGCTGCATCTCCAGATTGTTCATTGCCTCCATCAATCTCTCAGACATCCCGCCAACCATAATACCTAGCTCGAAACCAGCAAAGTAAATAACCGAATGCCATACCTCCAGGGACTGCTTGTGTTTGTGTTTGAAGACTACTATTTCTCTCACACCAGATGCACCAAATTAAAGCTCACAGATGACAGATACGATGATAGCTTTCTCCTTGCCTCTTTTGATTGATTATGTTTCCAAAAAATCCATCCAGAATACAGATCATTAGGCAGGCCAGAAATGTTGAATTTAATGCACAGAGAATTCCAGATAGATTGAGTAAGCCCACATTTCAGGAAAAGATGATTATGAGATTCATCTTCTAATCCACACAGCACATATAAAGGATCCACTTCTATGCCTTTCTTCAACAGCATGTCTTTAGTATTCAACTTCTTAACAGAGCTAAGGGACACGTCAATTTGACTTTCAAAAGAGCCTGAATTTTCCAAATATCAGAATATGGAACTCACACTAGCATCTATAAAAAATTTATAGTATGACGTTGTAGTAAATCTATCAGTAGCCTTCAGCGTTCATGTTCTTCTTTCAGCATCTATAACATTCACCCCTTGAAGTAAATGAAGGAGCTCTAGATACTGAAACATTAAAGCACCTATAAGTTTTCTGTTAAACTGAAGCCAAAGGATTAAAAGCTAATTGAAACATGTCAGGATATGTAGATGCTAAGGTAAAATCATCTATCCAAGTATCCTTCCAAAAATAAGTTCTCTCTCTCCTCCCACCAGCTCAGTAGTACATGTTAAAAAATCTTCTGCCTGTTTAGCAATACATCTCCAAAAACAAAAACGTGAAACTTTTGAGGAATTACTAATATGCAGAAAATCTTCACCATAATATACTAGACTTATCTAGTAATCTCCAAAGCCATTTTCCTAACAAAGCCTTGTTCATAATTCTCAAATTCAACACTCACAAACCTCCCATGAAATTTGGTCTACACACAGTATCCCAATTCAATAAATTGGAAGCCCTCTTATTATCTAAAGATCAACTCAAGAGAAATCTTCTTCTAACTTTGTCAATCCTCTCACAAACCCACATAGGGAACAAGAAAAATGACATCCAAAAAAGAGGCATGGCTGCTAATGTAGAATTTACCAAAACCAACCTTCCTCTGGATAAAAGTTCACTTTTCCACAAGATAATCTAGATTCTTAGTAATCATAGGCATCCAATCAGCTCTGTCTTAAAGGCACACCCAAATATGTGATAGGAAAGTTACAACTCACGCATGAAATGATTGCCAAATTTTGTTGCATGGAGCAATTTTGCTTTAGTTCAATTAAAACACTCTTAAAAATTAATTTGATGTCCAGATGCCAACTCATACCGATATAGCAAAAGCTTCAAAGCAGTTAGCTGATCTCTAGTTGTTTGATAAAACACCAATGTGTCATCATCAGCATACTGAAGACAGAGAACTACTCATTGGTTATCAGCGAAATATGCTGGAATAATGGAATACATCTGAGCTCCAGTGAGTTGCATTCATGGCACTCTAGAGAAGAAGAATAAGTTTTGCACGTTTCCAAAAATGCTAAATCCCTTATAGAAATGCTAAATACGCAAGTTGCTTTTCTGAATAATACATTTGCACATTGCCATTGTTTTTTCCTGTGCAATTAACTTTCAGTTTTTCATGCTTTATAGTTTTGTTGGATGTTCTTTGAGATTCTTGAGTATGTTAAAGATGTAATTATTTTATTTAGGCAGAAGTCCTCTATAAGCTTATAGAGGACTGTGCTGATCTCAAGGGAGATGGCTCAGAAACTGTTCTTGACCTTTTCTGTGGAACTGGAACTATCGGTTTAACACTTGCAAGAAGGTAAATTAACTGACTATAGCTTCACACAAAAGAGGCTAAATTTTGTTTAATTAGTATTATTTGATAGCCAGGTACTTTTCATTTTTAAAGGAAATAATTTCGAGGATACAATCATTGATACTTTCAGGGCTAAGCATGTATATGGATATGAAGTAGTGCCTGAAGCCATCGCAGATGCCCAACAAAATGCTCAACTCAATGACATCTCTAATGCTACATTTGTTCAAGGAGATCTGAACAAAATTGATGACAATTTTGGGCGTGACTTTCCAAAACCTGATATTGTCATATCAGGTTATATCTGGTCTAATTTGATCCATTATGATTATAGTTAAATCTTTGATATTACCTTCAAGCACCAATTTGAAATGACATAAAAATTATATTTCAATTTACGAGTAGAAATGTCCTTTACTGATATAAAGATTTCTAAATGAAGATATATTGGTGCCTGGAACCTGTAGAATCTTTATTGATTGCGTTGACACACAAGCTGGCACAGTGTGAACTTACTTACACACATGCACAAACCTACACAGATAATGTATAAGTTTACATTTAAAATAGTTTTTAAAGTGCTTGTTTTATTCAGAAAAATTCAAATATCCTTCTTGATTTGGTGAAGTTAATTATGTTTTTTAAGTCAGTTACTTTACCCCTTTCTTCTAAAACTTGGCTGAAAAATAAATCATCACTGAATTATTGATATGGATACAACAACAATAACAAAGTCTATAGCCCATATTTTTTAGGCCGGTTACATGAATCATATTTTTCCATTCATTTATATATGGGGTTATCATCTCCGCAGTTAGGTTAACCATTCTCATATAATTTTTAATTGCTTCTCATCAAGTTCTTTTATTCTTACATCTAGTTCTCCTTGCTTCATTGTTCATAATCTTATCACCTCTCCTGATTGGAGTAATTGGTGTCCTTCATTTTGTTCAAACCATCTCAATGATTTTCCTCCCTATTTGTTCTCTTGTTATTTTTTTCCTTGCAACTTGAGCTTATTTATTATCTTATCTCTTATTGTATCCAATAGTCCATCGTAAAATTCTCATTTATGCTTCACTCGTTTTTGCGCAAGTTGTTTCTTAATTGCAGAACTCCTAATATGCAAATTAATTCAAAATTCTACAGATCCGAATCGCCCAGGCATGCATTTGAAGCTAATAAAATTCCTACTCAAGCTCCGTGCACCACGCATCATCTATGTATCTTGTAATCCGGCCACATGTGCCAGGGATCTTGATTACCTTTGTCATGGTCTGGTATGTTCTCAATTCCACAAGTATTTCTTATATATGAACCTCTTTTGGACTACATTCTTACAAACTATACGCAGGCCGATCAAGGCATTGAAGGATGTTACCAGCTCAAAAGTGTACAACCAGTTGATATGTTTCCTCATACTCCTCACATAGAATGCGTGTGCCTTCTAGAGCTTTGCTGACTACTGATTTTGGTCCATGAGCCATCCTGCTAGTCACATCGGTGCAGATCGAGCTCATCAGTCCAAGCGAATCCATTTTTCTAAATGAGATGCCAGCTCATACCCAACATCCCAGTTATTGTTGTGCCAACTGTTACTAAAGATCCATACAGCACAATCATTCACATAATCCTTATGTTCTGCATGGAAGAAGGTAGCGGTACCTTTTTATGAGATTTTTTTTTTTGAAAAAAGGGTATTCAAAAGCAAGGAGATGAAATTGGGCTACCTTCTTGCAAACCCAGATAGTTGGGGTGTGACTTGATGGTTATCTCTAATTATTCTTCTTTACTTCTTTTATAGGTCTCTTCGATGTATTGTACCTTGGACAATTTTGATCTGATTCAGAAATTTTCACATTTGCTGAACTCATTTGTAGCATATGTGCGTAAAGTTTTGGTTTGCTGGCTCTGAGTTTCTTTGATTTTGGTTCGTTCCAAACTTCAGTGTGTGTACTTCTGCAATCGTAGTTGCAGGAGGTTCGTCGTAGCAATGACCGCTGTTGATGCATGTTTCGAGTGCCCATGAAAGGTTGGTTTCAAATGAAATCTTGCAGGTTCTTCATCGACGGTCAGGAGGAAGATCTCTATATCTTGTTGAGATATGCATCGACTGATCACTTCTGCTCCTTTATGAATAGTAATTATGACGTGTGGAGCTTGAATAAAAGCGTATAAACTGAGCTTCGTTGTTGCAATTGATGAGATAGCCACGAAGTCTCTCCTTTGTCCCACTGAAAGATATCGCGCTTGTGCATGTCTCTGGACTGAGTTCTATATTGGGGATTCGCTATCAGATAGCAGCTATTCTTGTACGGTTCTCTCAATGAGAACGCTTGTATTTTGGATCAGCGGAGTACTTGTGTGTATATCTTGGCTCCGTTTGGATACCATGGTGTTTTACTTATTTTCATGATGTTTTTGTCAAAAACAAAACACCATGTGTTTGGAAACCATGGTGTTTTTTGAGCTAAATCATCCTCAAATCAAAAACACAACACTTATTTCAAAACACCTAAAAGGTGTTTTAAGTTTGATGTTTTGGTTTTGAGTTTGAGAATGTGTTAATATAATATCTAACATAATATATTAAATGTAATTAGTATAGAGTTATTATCAACATGCTTATTATAATATACTATACTATACTATAGTTAATCTAATATATTAGTAATATTTATTAAATAATATAAAAATATAATAAATAAAATATCTTATATAACAATATAATAACATATTAAATACTAGTATTTAATATGTTAACAATGTATTATATAATAATAAATAATAATAATATATAAATAAACTAATAAAAAATAATAAAAATATATAATAAAACTAAATATAATACATAATAACATACTAACACTAATAGATAATTGTTATAATTGATCCAACTTTTAATTAAATTAACTCCTTAATCAATTAAATTATAAATATTATATAATAGTACACATATTAAAAATTTATTATAAATACAATAATATATATTATAAATATTATATAGTATAATGTAATATAAAATATAAATATATAATATATTATAAGATAAATATATTATGCTATTAAATATTAATAAAAATATATATTCATTAATATAATAATTATCTTATTTAATCATAAAATTATTATATATTATTAAATTATATTCAAAAAGACCGATTACATATATATACATATATTAAAAATATTTTTATAAATATTATGTTATTAATAACATACAGTATAACATAATATTAACATTATAATAATTATTTATATGAATAATAATATAATAACATATTATATATTATATAAGTATAATATTATATTAATAATAAAATAATATATTATAACAAAATATAATAGTAATGATATACAATACAATGTTGATATACTAATATAATTTAATATATAATTAGTTCTGAAAATTAAAGTATGTAATAAATTATAATATAATATAATTCAATTAATACAATATAATATTATAATAATTAAGGTCAATTTTATATTGCATTATATAAATACTTGTAATACTATAATAATTTAAACTAAATATTATAATATTTTATTTATAATATATTTTATTATAATTAATATATAATATATTAATAATATGTTTAATACTAATGTTGTAATGGATCAAACTAGTGTTGACCAAAAATACTTAACATGATGCTTTGAAAACGTTTTAAGAGAAAAACACAACACCATGGTGTTTTCTTACAAAAACACAACAAAGAAAACACAATGATAGGCATTAGGTGTTAGTTTCTGTGTTGCACACTGTGAGTGGTGTTATCACGTTTCGTGTACGATGAGGATATTATCTACTTTTGTGGCGTTTGCAGCCACATCATCTTCTTTTGTCATCTCTCCTTTTGCGGTAATCGGCATCAAAAATTCAAACCCAAATTTTATTATTCAAGATTTAAAATAAAACCTTAAAATATATAATTAATTAATTAAAAGAAAGGGCCTACCTAGCCACAACTCACGTTTTTAATTTACTAATAAAAATTAAGTTCTTCCCATAGAAGCCCAAAGTTCCCCGTTACTTTCACTACGTAGAACGGTGTTTGGAACTTGAGCAGAACATGGCCGCGCGGCAACGCTCTGGTAAGAGATGTTTTTAGAGAGAGAGAAAGGTTGATACGGGTGTATCTTCTCTTTGGAACTTAGCGATCCTCATGGGAGCTTGAGAATAGATGATTCTCATGGTAACTTGAGAATAGATGTGTAAAACAATACAGTGAAACGCAGGTCAAAGTATGGAACGAGACGGCGAATCGAAGCGTCCAGTTTTCAGCTCGTGAGTCGACTCATACATGCACATGAGTCGACTCATCAGGTTGAGTCGACTCATGCCTGTCATGAGTCGACTCACGAAGCCCAGTCGTTTGTCAGAAGTTTCTGACCAGTCGACTCATGACTATCATGAGTTGACCCACGAAGCCCATCAGTTTTGTCAGAAGTTTCTGACCGGTCGACTCATAACTGTCATGAGTCGACCCATGTGTCATGAGTCGACTCATATATGCACATGAGTCGACTCATCGATGGTTTCCTGGTTAGTTTGAGTTTCTGTTTGTACGAATTCCCGTGGGATTTGTGCTTGGTTATTTACCACTTTACCATCCATGTTGTTACACCTATATAAGGGATTGTTCTAGGGTTTCTAAGGAAAATCAGATGTAATCAAAGAGAGATTCTAATCAAGAGAGATTAGGGTTTAGAGAGAATTGGGGGTTTGTTCTCGATTCTAGTGAGATTGTGAGAGAGTGATTGTAATCTTTTTATATCATAATCTAGAGAGGGTATTTTTCTTCGCCACATACTGAATTATTCTTGTATTTCTGTCATTCTCTTCTCAACCCACATTCGATAATTCCGCAATCAAAGGTGCTCGCACGGCGACTCGTATCAAGTTGTAATCAGAGCGATCAGATCCTGTGAATGAAGCATCCTGTATATGGTCCTGACTCGATCGCAATACAAAAAGTTAAACGAGATCCTTATTTCATTAGGAGGAGTCCAGAAATTAAGGAAGGAGAAGATGACTGAAGGAGATAGTTCAGCGAGGTTAGACGCATTGGAGAAACAGATGGAGACAATGAGTTCGACTCTCACACAGCTCGTCAATATCTTCCAAGAAAAGGACAAAAAGGAGGAATCTTCTTCGAAAGGAAAGAAGAAACTTATGGAGTCTGATGGAGAAGGCAAGGAATCTGATTCTGATAGGGAGGTCGAGATTGTCAAAACTGTTCCGCGTTAAGGGGGTAAGAATTCTTACCAGAATTTGAAGATAGACTTCAAGGTAAAGATTCCTATTTATGATGGGAGTGTCAACGTCGAGAGGCTTGATGATTGGATCGAGTGTATGGAGACGTATTTTACCCCCTATGGATATTCATCCAAGGAGAAGCTTGTGTTTGCGACTTTGAAGCTTTCGGGGTATACATTGACATAGTGGAAATCCTATTGCAAGCAGGAACGAAAGGCGGTGTCGTGGAACAAATTCAATGAGCTACTGAAGAAGCAGTTCTACCCAGTGGGATTTCTTGAGGAGCGTTGGTACAAGTGGTATGGCTAGTGCTAAAGAGTCAATCAGAGCGTTCAAGAGTACACAACAGAGTTCCAGCAGTAGGCGATGGTTCTAAACGTCGCGACGGATGAATACTCCATCTTTATGAAGTACATGGCGGGTCTGAACGAATACATCCAGAAGGAGATGAAGCTATTCACGATCGAGTCTATTGCAGAGGTAAGCGTGAAAGCTATTGCCATCGAGGGAAAGCAAAAGAAGAGCAACGAAACAAAGGGAGATGCAAAACAGACAGGAGGTGATTCTAGTGGTTTTAAACATAAGGATAAGAAGAAGGGTGATCCAGGGAGAGCAGAACGGATTTGTAGTCACTACGAGAAGACATGACATATCGCTGATCGATGCTGGGAGAAGTATCCCCGTATAAAACCAAAGGTGTTGAAGAAGAAAGAGGACAAAAAGGCATACGTGATAGCACAGGGTCCGAAGGAAGTTCCTGGGATGACAGAGCCCAACAGTAGTCTCAATCTTATGGCAGAAAAACAGACCACGAAAGAGGATGAAGACCCCCGAGAGCAGCTCTTTGTACTAAAGTTGCAAGTGAAAACCAGTTTGGTTAATGTCATTGTTGATCCAGGCAGCGAAAAGAATTTGATATCCGAGGCCTTGGTTCAGAAGCTGGGTCTGAAGACAGTCAAGCATCCGAAACCCTATCCATTAAGGTGGATGCAGAAGGAGACGGGACTAAGTGTAGTTGATCAATGCACTGTCAGATTTGCGCTCTACGAGTCGTATATTGACGAGGTCACGTGCGACGTCGTTCCATTGGATGTTTTTCAGGTTATACTAGGTAATCTGTACTTGTGGGATAGATACACGATCTACGAAAGGCGAGATCAGAAGTACACATTCACCAAGGATGGTGAAAAGTTCATATTTCGTTCGGCGTCTCTTCCGAGGGAGGCAAACTTGGTGACGGTGACGCGAATGAAGAGGCTAGTGAATGCAAGCAAGAAGTTCGTCTCGCTGTGCATTAGACTTTATGACGAGCCATCAAAAAGGAGTTGCATGTTGGAGCGGAAGACGACTACGATGAGGCGAGGAACAAAGGAGTCGTTTTCAGTTGTACGTCGATATCAGGTTCCTAGCAAAGCCAGGTGGTACATAAAGGATGGAGGAGCTCGTGAGCTTTCTCAGCTGAAGTTCTAACTTGAATGGGACTTCAAGTTCCTAAAGGGGGGACCATGATACGAGTGTATCTTCTCTTCGGAACTTAGCGATCCTCATGGGAACTTGAGAATAGATGATTCTCATGGTAACTTGAGAATAGAGGTGTAAAACAATACAGTGTAACGCAGGACGAAGCGTGGAACGAGACGGTGAATTGAAGAATCGAAGCGTCCATTTTTCAGCTCGTGAGTCGACTCATACATGCACATGAGTCGACTCATCAGGTTGAGTCGACTCATGCCTGTCATGAGTCGACTCACGAAGCCCAGCCGTATGTCAGAAGTTTCTTACCAGTTAACTCATGACTGTCATGAGTCGACCCACGAAGCCCAGTAGTTTTGTCAGAAGTTTCTGACCGGTCGACTCATGACTGTCATGAGTCGACCCATGTGTCATGAGTCGACTCATATATGCACATAAGTCAACTCATCGATGGTTTCCTGGTTAGTTTGGGTTTCTGTTTGCACGAATTCTTGTGGGGTTTGGGCTTGGTTATTTATCACTTTGTCATCCACGTTGTTACACCTATATAATAGATTGTTTTAGGGTTTCTAAGAAAAATCAGATGTAATCAAAGAGAGATTCTAATCAAGAGAGATTAGGGTTTAGAGAGAATTGAGAGTTTGTTCTCGATTC